CCAGCAATAACAGATTTTAGAACACTTAAAGATTTTAAAATAAGATTAAAAAACTTGTCTCATTAGTTTGGGCCTTGTAATTAAAAACCAGTTACACTTTAAAATGGGCTAAGCTTAAGCTTATTTGTAAATCACTTAAAACTTTAGTTTCTTTGCTTAAGACAGGGTCGTGCTCTGTTGCTGGGGCTGGAGTGCAGCGGCACAATAAAGGCTCAACCTCCCTAGCTCAAGTGATCCTCCCACCTCAACTTCCTGAGTAGCTGGGACTATAGGCGCACACCACCATGCTTGGCTAATTTTTGTATTTTTTGTAAAGATGGGGTTTTGCCATGTTGCCCAAGCTGGTCTTGAACTCCTGGACTCAAGCAATCCACCTGCCTTGGCCTCCCAAAGTGCTGGGATTATAGCCATGAGCCACCATGCCCAGCCTTATATATTACTTTCTTTACACAGAAATTAATAAGCTGAGAATCACAAAAGAAATACTCAAATGAAATAAAAATTATGTTAAAATAATTCTACATTCTTTGTAGTTTTATTCATGAGGTTCTCTGTGTCAATCACATTCCCTAGACAAACTTATTGTTCTCTCAATATGCTTAGTATTTTCTTATCTGTCTTTGCCCATGTTAGTCTACCTTTATAATGCTATCTCAATACCCTCCCCATATCCCTATCTTCTGAAATTCTACCCTTCTTTTAAAAATCCAGCTCAAATTACACCTTCCCAATAGTCTCCACTAATCTCTTCCTATACCAGAAGTTGTCCCTCGCCAGAAGCCACAAAGAAGGTAGACATAAAGCACTAGTACTTGGTAAAAAGTTTTAAGGGAGTAGTAACTTTATACAGCCAATACTATCTACCTCATATCAGCTTCCATAAATAGTTCCGGTATCTTAAATTTGACTTACAGTATAGCAAAGACAAGGATTCATACCAATATTATATATTTGGCAAAGAATTACACAATCTACATGTGTAGGTATCCATACACACAAGACACACAAGTTGAGAGATACTGATGATCTACAATACACAAGTGCTTTTTAATAAACTAAAGAGGTTTTTTTTTTTTTTTTTTAAACCACGCCCAACTGGCTTGTTTTATTGAAGGGGATGCAGAATAAACAATGCTAAAAGCTGGGACCTGAGGCTGGGAAGAACTCCCTCCCCTCCCTATACATGCCCACTGCCCCAAATAAAAAATAACCAACTATGGGAAAGCAGCCAAGACAGCAATTGGAGGCAGGGGAAAGAGTCACAGAACTCGAGGGCAGTGGTGAAGAGACCATGTGTGTGCTGGGAAGGCCCAGAGGCAGCGGCGGCATGAACAGCACAAGTGCAAGTCTCTGTGTCTTCCCCAGGGTTATGTATAAATGTAGAGAGATGAGGCCTTCTCTCTCCCCCTGCTCTCCCTTCCACTCCGTGGTGCTTGCCACAGTCCCAGCTGCTGTTTCCACACGAGGGCGAAGAGGAAAAAGAAAATCAAAAAGTGGGTGAACAATATGAATACACACGTCTCAAAAGACGACACTTATACAGTCAACAAACACATGAAAAAAAGCTCATCATCACTGGTCATTAGAAAAATGCAAATCAAAACCACAATGAGATACCATCTCATGCCAGTTAGAACGGCAATCTTTAAAAAATCATGAAACAACAGATACTGTAGAGAATGTGCAGAAATAGGAACACTTTTACACTGTTGGTGGGAGTGTAAATTATAAATTAGTTCAATCATTATGGAAGTCAGTGTGGTGGTGACTCCTCAAGGATCTAGAACACAAAATACGATTTGACCCAGCAATCCCATTACTGGGTATATACCCAAAGGATTACAAATCATTCTACTGTAAAGATACATGCACACATATGTTTACTGCAGCACTGTTCACAATAGCAAAGACTTGGAATCAACCCAAATGCCCATCAATGATAGACTGGATAAAGAAAATGTGGCACATATACATCATGAAATACTATGCAGCCATAAAAAAGCATGAGTTCATGTCCTTTGCAGGGACATGGATGAAGCTGGAAACCATCACTCTCAGCAAACTAACACAAGAACAGAAAACCAAACACTGCATGTTCTCACTCATAAGCGGGAGCTGAACAATGAGAACACATGGACACAGGGAGGGGAACATCACACAACACGGCCTGTCAGGAGCTGGGGGGCTAGGGGAGGGATAGCATTAGGAGAAATACCTAATGTAGATGATGGGTTGATGGGTGCAGCAAACCACCATGGCACATGCATACCTATGTAACAAACCTGCATGTTCTGCATATATACCCCAGAATTTAAGTATAAAAACAAAACACTAGAGAAAAACAAAATTAAAAACAAACAAACCAACAAAAACGTGAGCCACTGTCCTAAATTCAAAGCTATAGTTACTATTTATTTCTGAGAAACAAAATCAACAGTCTAGTGTCTATAAAAGTATTTAAAGCAGCTTGGGGCCGCTTGTCACTTGTCTTATTTAGGAAGGGTTAGAACAGTTATTCCCAGGAAAAATAAATACTAATTATCCTAATTCTGAATCCAGAGCTGTTTAAGTGGCTTTGTGAACTCCAGCAAACCAATAAACTAACCATATAGAACTATAATTCCAGTATCTCTAGTGGAATATATTTAAAGGAACAGAAGAGTCACATCTAATGTTACAGCCCAACATCTGGGCTTCTAATAAGAAACTGAAAGCACAGTAATGAAATACAAGGCCTCTGAGAGGGTCAGAAAGAATTACCAATAAAGCCCATCAAGAAACAACTGCAGCTCAAACAGACCATGAGATTCATGATCACAAATTTCAATATGCAACAGTGACCTCTGAAGATAGACAAGTTTGGCTTAAATGTAAGCAGCTTGAATCATGATCACACTTAGGGCCAATGGTGAAAAACAGACATGGATGTATTTCTAGCCTAGCAGTTGACTACTTTTCCCAGCCCTGTGTAGGTTCTGTGCTTTCTTTCCTTCCAGCCCTCCAGTAGCACATGCCTTCTTAGCAGTTTCTATGTTCACCTGCCTTTCTTTTCAGTGGCAGTGAGTCACTAACAGCCAAATCCACAAGGATCCTCTGTTACCTGTTATCTGGGGGAGCAACAGCTAAAACATCTCACTAGTTAGACCATCTTTCAATGTAGCCTTTTAGATAATTTCAACAGATTTTCTGAGTCAAGCATGTTAAACATTATTCCAGAGCTAACAGTGAGGTAGGTTACAAATACAAGCACTTTTTTCTTTCATAGAGACAGTCTCCCCATGTTCCCTGGTCTCAACCTCCAGAGCTCAAGCAATCCTGTTGTCTTGGCCTCCTAAAGTGTTGGGATTATAGACATAAGCCACCACACCCAGTCCACAATTTTTTTTTAATGTGGCTTTTTGTTTTTGAAAAAACATTTCTCTTGAGAAGCACTACTTTAGAATAAAGTGTTTGTAAGGCAAAGATGCTTACCTGAAGCCATTCATTATTTCATCCTATAGATTTTATTAAGTGCCTATTAGGTGCAAGGCAGTTATAAACTCTAATTATACAGCAGCAGATACACAGTTAAGAGACCTGTTCTCATCTAATGGGGCAGACTGATAATAGATTTAAAACAAATATCTAATAGTTTCAAATACTGGCAAATGCTATGAAAACAAAACAAACTAGGAGAATAACCTGAGTGTGGTTCTGGGGCAAGGGTGCCCCTACAGAAAGGGAGGCAGGGAAGTCAGAGGAAACTCGGCTGTGACTTGAAGCCATCTAAAGAAATATAACTCTAGGTAGAGGGAAAACAGTGAGTGCTGAGGCATAAATGAGTTTGGCATGTTCCAGGAACAGAAAGTCAGCCAGTGTGGCTGGAACACAGTAAGAATGGAGAGGTGGTAGCAGACAGGGCAGGAGATGCAAGCTGCAATCTGATCATGTGAAGTCTTAAAGAAGCTTTAAAAGAAAGCTTACATTTTATTCCAGGTACAGTGGAAAGCCACTGAAAAGATTTAAGAAAGAAAGGGATTTATGTTTTTATAAGATAACTCTGGCCTTGGCATGAATAAAGGATTACTGCCATACAAATAGATACTCTATAAATATAATTTGATGATGTATTAATTTAGGGTGGTCAAGCATAGCTCATTTGCTTTAACTTGAAATTAAATAATAGGATGGCTAAGAGAAAATTGACCTCCATCCCCTGCCTAAAAAAGAAAGAAAGGATGGAGCTGCCTGACCAGATTTCCACTCTGCTGCACACTAGACTTTTTAAAAAGTATTCATAAGAAACAATAGTTCTGAAACCATCCTATAGTTCTGAGAGTCCTAAGAAAAGTATGTTTTTCTTAACTCCCACTTACAACTTGCAAATTTAAATAAAAAGCAGCCTCAACAGTGACCTCTAAAAGAGGCTTTAGTTACAGTAAAGTCTCTGTAATTTATAGCTACTAAATTATCGTTTCCCTTAGTTAATATAAAGAAATGCAAAGTTAGCTCCTCTGAATGTATTTGATGACTAATGATGTAAATAAGACTATAAAAAGAATGGTTTAACCAGTAAAGTCTCCTAAATCTATAAGAAACATGAATTGCAAATTCGTGTTTGGTAAACTGACTGGACTAGTCACCATAGTTTTCTAAGAATTTCCTTGGATCAGGCATGGTGGTTCATACCTGTAATCCCAGGCCTTTGGGAAGCCAAGGAGGGAGGACCACTTGGGCACAAGAGTTCGAGTGCAAGACCAGCCTGGCCAACATAGTGAGACCATGTCTCTACAAGAAAAAAGTCTTTAAAATTTTTCCTTGGTCTGCTAATTCAAATTACCATAACTATTGTATTAGAAAGTAACAAAAGTCTGTATTTTTTAAAGATTTATTGAAAGTCAATTTTCACTAGTTTATGGGACCATCTTTTTTTTTTTTTGTCTGAACTAGTTAAGATTTTGCTTGATCTTAAAACAAAAGCAAACATTATCAGAATAAGAAAATGTAACATATGGCCATACCTCCACTTTAATTCTCTTCGGGGATAATTCATCTCTTTCTCCACATTTTGACCTAAGGGAAACGGGAGAGGAAAGAAAAAAAAAACACTTGAGAAAATAACTGATTTTATTCCAAAGTCATCGCAGCCTACAACCTTCTGCCAAAATATATACCTGAAACTCCAACACCAGAAATGACATACTCATAATGAACATTAAAATAATGAAGAAAAGCTCTTTCCTCATTTCCAAGTTTACATTAGGGAACATATAGATACAATTATAAATTTTAAAAGCCCGCTACCTCAGAACTCCCCACAGAAAAAGCACTCAATAATTTTTTTTTTTAAGACAGGGTCTTGCTATGTTACCCAGGCTAGTCACAAACTCCTAGGCTCAAGGGATCCTCCCATCTCAGCCTCTCAAAGTGCTGGGATTACAGGCATGAGCCACTGTGCCCAGCCTAGCATTCAATAAATATTTAATAATCATCACATAATGAAAAAGAAAAAAGCAAGAAGGAGGATATTCCTTTATGGTTCAATAGGAATAATTTAGGATAAAATGACTAAAATGACCATTTAAGATGGACATTTTTGGCTACATGAGATTAAAATGCATTCTGTCTATCTACAGAAATTACAGATTATTTACCCCGACCCAGCAATTTTTCTGCTGGGAAAACCAATCCCAGAGGTACCTACACATATATAAAATGGTGTTCCGCCAATACATAATTATTTCATGTACCACTATGAAATTAATTAAACTATGACAAGTCATCAACTACAAGTCATACTTCAATATAAAAGATGTTAAAATGTGACAATGTACATCTCAGAATCAACAAAATATGTATGATGTTATTTATTATAGTATTATTTATAATAAGAAAAGACTAGAAACAACCCGAGTAGCTATCAGTACGGAATGGGACTAAATGAATTACAGCACATCTACACAATTCAATACCATGCAGCCATAAAAAATAATGAGGGCGCCTTAGGAGTCTGAGGTGGCTTCTAAGTTATGTAAAAGTGTTAATGTATTTTAAAGTACATTTAACTTTAAAAGGAAAGGTGAAGGTAAAGACTAGAGGAAACAGCTAAAAATCATTTAAGGCAGTTGACTCTGGAATGTGGAACTGAGAAGTGGGAAGGCAGAGCACAGGAACCACTGAATTTCATTATAAGCCTTACGTATTGCACGACTTCTTAAATCATGGAAGTGGACATGCATCACTTTGATTAAATAAAATTATTTAAATAAAGTACTCAGAAAGAAAATGGTGTATAATACAACAAAGAAAATAAAAAACCAGCAAATCAGCTCTTGATTATCTAACAAAAAAAAAAAAAAAAAAAAACCTTATAAATAATCCCAGAGAATGTCGCTGCATATTCTTACCCTATTCATTTAGTCATTTTACTTGTCAATTGTAAATAGGTAGGTACTGACATAGGGCAGGAAATGAAACTGTTGTGAGTTAGGAAAAATAATGATAATGAGGGCAAATGCCTATTGCTGGTTTTCAAACTTGAGGATGCACAAGAATGCTCTGGGATGCTTGTGAAAGTTCATATTCCAGGGTTCCATCCCCAAAGAATGTGATTTATTAGGGCTGGAGAGGGTGCTCAGAATGTGAAATTACCAACAAAAACTTAGTTACTTTAATGCAGTGGTCATCTGCATCCACTCAGAGAAGCAGAGGCAGGCACAATACAATGTGGGCTGGAAATCAGGGTCCGTGTGGAATCAAGTGAACAAAATCAAATGGTCCTGTCCTGTAGACAATGCTTACGGCTCAAGTAAGGATAAGGTGAAGAAGAATATGCTGTGTTTACATTAAATTTTGAAACCACCATTGCTTTTTAACATCATATTTTTTATTTCAAACTCTTGTTCCATAACCCATTTGCTAGAAATAGAATTGTCTTTCAATTTTCCCGCAGATACTAGTCAAGAGAGACATTTTACATATCCAGCTAATCTCATCAGATTGCAAACACTTTGCAAAAAGAACCACTCAGTTTCCTCAGAGTTCAACAAGTTCATGTGGTTAGGGGGTGTACAAATACATCTATAAATGCTGTCTGACTAAATCCCCTCATCACACTCAAAACCAAAGAGAGTGTGTGAGAGAAGAGTATCTAAAACCACTACCAAACCAATGCTATAGTAATTAGAGAATGATGCCTTTCAAAAAAGAAAGAGAATTAAACAACAAAAATCACCTGAGCAATGTTTTCAAAAGTCACTGCATTGTTTAGTTTCATAGAACAATAATCATACTGCTTTTTCAGAAATGCTTATAGCTTATATTCTATCAACAAATGATGTTTCAAACTCTAATTCTATCAAGCAATGCGAAAATACTGCCAGTTGGTTAAACACTTACTTGGTGGTTCTGTATGTATATTTATAGGTGACTTCTCGAGAAATCTGCCTAGCCAAGGCAAAGAGCTCATCTCTTCTTGTCAGCAGGGCATTATCCTTCACACAGAGTTGAGCAGCTGCTTCATTAACAGTGAGCTGGATATTCAAAACAGAGTTTTAAAATTATGAAAATTTTGATTTCATCAAAATGCAAAAGGTTTCATTTAATATATAAGAATGTCACAGCATTATATAATGAAGTCATCATAATTCATAAAAATCAGAATGGTATTTATTCCTAATGCCAAATTTCTGAAGAAGATCAACTCATCTCCCATCTCACAGAGCCCAAATGAATCATAATAGCCATCTTGATTTCATTTATTCATATGCTTGTTTATTTTTGGTTAGGTAGGGGAGTTTACAGACAACAAGGAAAATTAAAGAGTAAAACATATTCTGCATCTTGCTTATAAAAAAACCCAAAATATTAGAATATAGGATTTGCTGATACTATCTCTAACCAAAAATGAATGTACATGGTCTGACAGATTTTTTAAAATGTGCGCTGACATAAAAATTCTTAAAAAGGAATCAAGACCAAATGATTTTAAACATTTATCAAATCGCTTAGTAAAAAATAAGAGTGGCTGGGCATGATGGGTCATGCCTGTAATCCCAGCACTTTGGGAGGTGGAGGCGGGTGGATCATGAGGTAAGGAGTTCAAGAGTAGCCTGGCCAAGACGGTGAAACCCCATCTCTACTAAAAACACAAAAATTAGCTGGGTGTGGTGGCACATGCCTGTAATCCCAGCTACTCAGGAGGCTGAGTCAGAGAACTGCTCGAACCTGGGAGGTGGAGGTTGCAGTGAGCTGAGATCACGCCACTGCACTCCAGCCTGGGCGACAGAGTAAGACTCTGTCTCCCAAAAAAAGATAAAAAAATAGAAGAGTTATCACATACTAGGGCTGTATTGGAATATTAAGGTCTTGGACTAATCTCTATGATCCATCTAATTCTACTGCCCTTTCATAATTCAATAATTACTAAATACTGCCAATATAGAGTTGCTGGTTGACCAAACACTTTGTACTAAAATTTTGTTATCCTAAACTCAAAACCTGTAATTGTTTAACTAGAAAAATTTTCACATAATTTTGTCAATATAAATAGATATAGGAAATTGTCAAGAGTTATATCAGGCTTTTTAAATATGCAAAAGATTTATTTAACCAAGGCATGATGATTGGCAAAAAGAAAATGGGACATGATAGCAGACAGAACTGAGATATCTCCTGCTCCATCATTTACCAGCTGTGACTCTGGACATGCAAAACTTTTGAGAGACTTGGTATTTAATATTCTGAGAGGCAAAATGGCATAATATCACTATCCCAAAAGGCTCTAACAAGAAGCAGATGAGGAGACACACCTGGCACAAGGTGGTTGTTAGTGTTAGTTCTTGTTTTCTTTTCATAAGAAATCAGGTACAGCAGTACCTTCTTACCCACAGTTTTGCTCTCTGAGGTTTCAGTTAACTGTCGTCAACCGCAGCCCAAAAATACTAAATGAAAAATTCTAAAAATAAACAATTCACAAGTTCTAAACTATGTGTCATCTCACTCTGTCCTGTCCGAGTGATGAATCATTCCTTGGTCCAATGTACCTATACTGTCTACATTCCTGCCCGTCAGTCACTTGGTGGCCATCTAAGCCACCAGATGGAGTCTTCTGGTATTACAGTGCTCATCTTCCAGTTACCCTTGTTTGACTCAACAATGGCCCCAAAGTGCAAGAGCGATAATGCTGGCATACTGTTCTAATTGTCCTACTTTATTATTATTAATAGTTACTGTTGCTAATCTCTTGCTGTGTCTAATTTAGGAGTTAAACTTTATTGTAGGTATGCATGTATACGGACAAACAGTGTATATAAGTTTTGGTACCATTTGCAGTTTCAGGCATCCAACTGGGGATCTTGGAATGTGTCCCTCACAGATAAGAGGGAACTACTGTAGCCACCTTTTCTCCCTACTCAGGCATCTCATCTTTGTTTAGAAAAATTTTTCTTACTTACAATTTTTAAAAATAAAAATAAATAGCACACAATCATTCCATCCAGAATGACAATATTCTAATATACATTATTCCAATATTTCAGTATACATACAAAATGTAAGTACATACATATATACAGATTGGTAATCTATTTTTTTCAGTTATGTATGCTGTGTTTTTTATTTCCACCAATTTATTAAGGCAGAGACTTGTTTACATTAGCATCTGGCATGGGTTGGAACTTCAATATACATCTGTTGACTGATGAATGAACTGAAAAATCCTTTAAAACATCACTTTTACTACCTACACATACAATATTCCATTGTAGAAAAGAGCAATATATTATTTAAACCACCTTCACTCTGAACATATCTCCAGTTTTCCACGTACTGTTTTAAAAAAGCTGCATAAGAGATTCTTAAATGTGCATCTTTGCACACAAATCCAATTATTTCTTTGGAATAAATTCCTACAAATAGATCTGTCACGTCACAGGGTACACTAAATTTTAACAAATTTATACATTCCACCAAACTACCCTCAGAAAAGTTGTTCTAAATCGTAATGCTGTCAATGATTATATGAGGAGTCCATTTCCTATCATCTTGACCAACACTCGTTACTACCTTTTTAAAACTTTACTTGTTTTCTATTTCTAAAAGCATTTGGTTATAATTTGCATCTATTTGACTATGAAACTAGTTTTTTCTTATGTTTTTGACTCATTACAATGTTTCATTTTCTTACAACTTCAGGAATTCTTTATTAACAGTATTAACTCTTCATCACATATAATGGGTTTTTGTTTTTTTTTAAGTTTGTCATTAGCCACACAGTTTCCATGCCTTGGGTGCCAGGCACAGAAACATTCTTCCCACCCTAACAATATATAAACGTACGATAATTTAGTCTGATCCTTTTACTTTTCCCATCTAAGTATTTAAACCACCTAGGGTGTGTTATGGTACACTGGTATGATACAGATATCTGATATCCTCCTCCCCAAATTTACAACTGTGATTTACATTGATTTGTTCTGAGACAATTAATTTGGCGACTGACAGCAAAAGGTTGTAATAATAAACCCAAGTCTCCTATTTTAAATCCATAGCTGAATATGAAAGCATAACTGAAGGAAAAATTTATTTTCAGCTTTCTCCCCTCCTTCTAAAGAGTCATCAATAGATAAATTCCTTCCCTAAGTGCCTTTGAATGTTATTTGGAGTTAAAAGTGAAATGTATACTTTAAATAATGATTTCCAAAATAAATCAACTTCAGTTTTGGAATGACAGTGGCTACATGACCTCGAAGAGCATTCTCAAATAGCTTTTTATGTAGCGATTTTTGTTTTCATATTCATAAATCTAAATTACTATAAAAACCTCTGATTTTCAGTAAGATGTTTAAATTGACATTTCAGAGGTGCTAGCTTATGCACAACCACAGAAAATAACTTTTCAACATAAACTGAAAACAATATTCTAATATTCCTTCCATCACCTTACCAGGAACCAAGGAAAACAAACATAATGCATTCACTGTCACTGAATTTAGGCTCCCAGAAACCAAAGAAGTAGACTAAACTCTGCAGTGGGAACCTGGGAGAAAACTGAGGCTGGAGAAATAACTCTAGCTCATCCCCTTATTGTAATAAAAAGCTGATTCATGAAGCCTCTCCCTTAAAAACATGTATTTTGTCAGAGTTACGTAGATTTCATGCCCCCCAGCTGCTAATAATTAACAAATCAATAACTATTATGATATACTTACAAAAGAAAAATGAAAATATTCCCAAGCAGTTCATCATTTGCTGTAGCACTGTTAGCTTTTTCTGAATGTCAATATTCTAATTTTGTTAAAAGGATAAAGTAACAAATAAGTAAACCTTACTGGTTTACTTATTTCCTCCATTTCCTTTTTTTGTAGCCCAAAATACCAAAATTCCATTCATATGTTTATGTGAAAGATTTATTAAAGTTGGCTTCCTTTTTTTTTTTTTTTTTTTGAGACATGAGTCTCACTTGGTCACCCAGGCTGGAATATGGTGGCATGACCTCTGCCTCACAGGTTCAAGTGATTCTCTTGTCTCAGCCTCCCAAGTTCCTAAGACTACAGGTGTGTGCCACCATGCCCGGCTAATTTTTTTATATTTTTAGTACAGACAGGGTTTCATCATGTTGGCCAGGCGGGTCTCCAACTCCTGACCTCAAGTGATCTGCCCGCCTTGACCACCCAAAGTGCTGGGATTACAAGCGTGAGCCACCACACCCAGCCTCCTGAAATTAGCTTTCTATCTTTTATAACTGGACTTAAAAATTAAAGTCATTACAGTTATCTTTATCCTCAAAAAGAGTGGTTTATTGATTCCTAAACAAATCTTTCTTTCTGGGTTGTTAAAATTATAATCTCCAACAATCAAATGATTGTGACTTTAAGTACTGTTGGCATAAAAACCCTGTGACCACAGTGTGATAGGGAGGCTCAGGACTTTCATCTCCAGCACTGGGAGGCCTAGGTACCATTATTGACCGCGCTCAGAAAAAACAACCAAAAATATTAAATAAAATGGGGAGGGGATCATCTAAATGCTCAATGAGCTGATGAGAATAAAGACACGGAGACCAAAATGAATAAATACAGTACCTCAAGGGAGTTTAAGTTAAGCACAGTTGCTATACTTGGTAAGTTTGAGATTCAATCTTCATGACCTCATGGTATTGGAGAGAATGGGGAGGAAACAAGAGGCAAAGCCCACAGCTGACCAAAAGTGAGGAGTCTAAACACTGCCTCCACAAAGCTGAAACCTCAGCACACATGCCCAGTGTAAGGCTGAATTAGAAATACATCTGTACCCCCAGGAGAATGCAAAGAAAATTATCTGTCTTGAACCCTGGTAATGACTGGAAGAGAACAAAAGGCACTCTTTTGAGATTTCATGACCCCAAATCAGCCATAATTCACACTAAATGGGCTGAGAATCTATTTTCACAGGGCCTCAGATTTGCAATGTCCCGAGATGCCCAGTAAAAAGAAAAAGCAAATAACCTCTAGGGAATTAGCTTTCCAGGCCTCTAAACATTCTCACAGTTAAA